AAAAATTTTGCTAAACTCACCTTTTAATACTTACGATATATGTCTCAATTTCCTGATAAATTATCACTTTATTTTTCTTTTTGGTTCAGTTAGTTAAATTGCCTTGTTGCACAATATTGCATATTCTAGGATCTGGTTCAATTCTAGTGACAGTGGGGCTAAAGTGTTTTGGTCATAAAAAAGAAAACTAGTTTCTCCTTTTTAAAAAAAGTTTATTTTTGTTGGAAAGGGGGATAGACAGAGAGAAGGATAGACAGAGAGGAAGATCCCCAAGCAGCCGCAATGGCTGGAGCTGAGCCAATCTGAAGCCAGGAGCCAGGAACTCTTCCAGGTCTCCCACGCGGGTGCAGGGTCCCAAAACTTTGGGCCGCCCTCAACTGCTTTCCCAGGCCACAAGCAGGGAGCTGGATGGGAAGTGGAGCTGCCGGAATTAGAACTGGCGCCCATATGGGATCCTGGTGCGTGCAAGGTGAGGACTTTAACCACTACGCTATTGTGCCAGGCCCATAGTTTCTCCTTTTTAAAAAATTTTTTTTTTAATTTTATCTTTTTGGAAATACATAGAGAATGAGAGACAGAGAGGAAGATCTTCTGTCTGATGATTCATTCCCCAAGTGACCGCAATGGCTGGTGCTGCACCAATCTGAAGCCAGGCGCCTAGAGCTTCATCTAGGTCTCCCACGTGGGTGCAGGGTCCCAAGGCTTTGGACCCTCCTCGACTGCTTTCCCAGGCCATAGGCAAGGAGCTGGATGGGCCATCAGGATTAGAACTAGCACGCATATGGGATCCCAGTGCGTGCAAGGTGAGGACTTAGATGCTAGGCTATCATGTTGGGCCCCTAGTTTCTCCTTTTTCTCTGTTTCTCTCTATTTATAAACTTGACTAAAGCATATGTGGAATGGCCCTGCTCATTGCTGCATGTGTAAAGATGATAATTGCCCTCTCACCTAATGCATTACTTCTAAAGAGCCCTAGTAAATACTGAGAGGAACTTGTTAGACTTTGATAAAGTCATTTACTGACACATCTAAGAGAAAACAAGGAAGAAATGCCAAAACATTTTTGGAAAACAAAAATAGTTGCAGGTAAATATTTGATCATTTTTGTCTTAGGATAAATACTTCAAAACCAGAGCCAAAGACAGAGTTTTCAGATAATCTATCATGATGATGATTAACATCGTTATTTCAGGGGAGCTGCTTTTCTGAGAGCAGCAGGACAGTGCAAGGGGACATGGGGAGCAGTCATATGCTTTTTAATATAGCCCGGCCTCAGCATGAGTGCGTGGAGAGGTCTGGAGCAGAAAGTACAGAAATAGCTATACCTGATGCTATCCTTTGATAGCCTGATGTCGCTGAATCATGCCTGAGTTATGCCTTGGCTTGGGGTGGGGCTGGTTTGGAACTGGTTTTTAGCTTCTGGCCAAGTAGCTTCATTTAACTGAGAGTCACTCACTCCACAATTGAACTGGAAAATAGGTGTCCTGGTTGATAAAGGGAATTTGGTTGCTAGACCAAGAGCATCCAAATGTTGCAGGGCACATTCCCAACAGAAATGCAGTGACTATACTCAAGCTGTGACTCCTGACAAAGGGTGGGAACCTCACCAATCTCTGCCTTAGGGCTTAACCAATTCTTCACATTTGTGTAAGTACAGGAGCCATGGCTATGACTTTTAGTCATGGACATATTTATGTTTACTTCAGAAACAGTTTTGATATCAGAAAGCAGAGATTGAAACAGATACAACAGGTAGAAGAATAGGAGGAAGACCTATGATCTGTGTGAAGACAATGAAAATCAGGGTTAGAGAGAATAAACAGGAGACTCTGCGACCATGGGGACATGTTTCAGTGTCCAGGGACTTGTAACACGAGTAGCTCCTGATAATGACAACAGGCAATCAAAGACTGAGTGAGTGAACTCTAGAAGGAAGGGGAGGAGCAGGGAAACGAGCAGTGCTAGCCCCAAGGAAGGGAAGGAGTAGAGTACTGGTGGCTGATGGTGGACAGGAGGCGTATGGTGCAGTGCCAGAGCAGACGTCAGGGAAAAGGCCAGCACAGAGAGATGGCGCGTGCTCAAGGAAACACTGAGGGTAAGTGAAGGAGAACTGGCTTCCTGATGCCATGATGCGCATGGCTCTTCCCTCAGAAGGCTTTGCGGCATATAATTGTTCCTAGGGGAAAACCAATTTCCCAATGGAAGAAGATGGTAGAGAAAGGATTTTTAGGAAGAGCACATGAAATGAACTGGGTGATAGAACGGGGGAGGGGTTAAGGAGCTTCAGAGAAAGGACTGAGACATAATCCCACCAGACGTTTAACTGTGGAGTGTTGTCAACTCAAATATTGTATGCCAGACTTAAAAACTCACATTTCTGTTTCATTGACATCCGGGATTAACTTCATAACTAAGTACTGATTCTTTCTAAACTTATTTACATGAAGGAAGTTCAAAAAGTTCATGGAGAAATTAAAGATAGGGCCATTTTAGTGTGAAAATTATTTGAAATCCAGGCATGAAAATCATCTACAAAAAGTTCATTGAGCTATACATTATGAAAGAACTATGCGTGGATTTTAAATTCTTTTTGCATTCAGGTGAACCTCTTTTTCTGTCCATTTCCATGAATTTTCTGGAAGTCTAGCGCAGCCCCGGCCCTTAGGACTGTCTCCCTCAGGAGGTCATTGTTTGGGCAGAGGCTAGGGGGTCTTTCAGAAGCTGCATCCTTACAACAATGGTGATCTTCACACCCTTCACTGAAGATGAGCATTGAGTCTGATCCAAGGATTGTTTCTTTTCATGAACTAGTAGAGCCAGCAGGCATGTTCCAGGGTTGGCAGGAGAAACTGGAATTTGGAAGTGCAATTTTGTTCTGAGTTGCTGTTGTTGTTTTAGGCATCATTGCTTCCCTGAAATCGGTAAGGTTAGGGCGTGCTTATGAATTAACGGCAGTTAGCATGGTGTGTGTGTGTGTGTGTGTGTGTGTGTACATGTGTCTGCTGGGAGGTTTTTTTTTTTTTTTTGCTTGTTTTCTTAGCAAGATTTTCTTCTATGTATTTGTCATTCAAAAGAATTCTACTACAAAGCTAATTTCATTAGGAAGAAGGACTTGTTGGGACACAGCTCCATCCACCCATGCTCAGTAAACTGCGCTTCTTTCAGGTCTTCATTAGACTCTATAAATCTGTGGTTCCCAGCTTTGGCTATGCATCATCATCACCTGAGGTCATAACCATTGTGATCCCTAGTTCTCATCCCAGACATGTTGACTCAGTTGGGTATTGGTAGGTCTTGAACACACATATGTTTCTGAAGCTCTCCACTAGATTTTAATGTGCATGTAAGGTAGAAATTCCCTGATCTACCCAGTTCTTTGCTGTGGATTCCCAATATTATTATGCTTCGAGACTCACACAGGTGCTAATGTGTTTGCCCTGGTGATTCTAATACTACAGTTTGGTCCTCTTTTGAACTATGGTCTTGGATCTGGTTTTGCTGTTTAGTTAATTAGTTAGTTTGTGCCTTTTTTGGTTCAACTCTTGTTCCAACTCCTCTTCCTACCCCAAAGAATTTCTAAGGACTTTTGGAGAAGTTAAACTTTAAATTCTCTTCCTCTACCTCTGATGTACATACTATTTGAACTATAGTTAAGACACCGTTGCTGACAACTTCAAATGCAGAACTTCTTGTCTATGAATAAAAGGCACAATAGATACTTAAACCTTAGGTTTGTCAGAAGCCTTGACTAATTTTATTAGGGAAATTATCATTGGGAAACAGCAGTTGTTTCACTGGAAATACACTAATGAGCAGGGAGAGGCGGAGAGAGCTATAAATTAAGGGCATCAGCTACTCATTTAACAAATGTTTCCTCATTCCTTGCCCAGACACCTCTGTCTCGCTAGAAGCCAGGTAAGTTCTTCCTTTTCCTCTAGATTTGTGTTTCCAGAATACTGATATTCACTTGAAAGACGTACTTTTGTTGTACATAGACTTTCCTTGAGGTGGATTTTTAAAAAAACTCAGTGCTTCCATGGCCATGACAATGCATTTTCATCCTGCTGACAGATCAAGTTAACTCATTTTTTTTCAGAATAAGCCTTCCAAGAATGCCTAAAAGGAATCCTGGGATTGAACTTGGAAGATGTAACAGCAGAGGTGGGGTGTTTAAGCAGGGGTAAGCCCAATGAATCCCAAATCCCCAAACATACGTGGGCTCTCAGGGACTTTATTTTGCATTTATTTTATTCTTACATTTGGTTTCTTGAAGTTTTTGTTAACTGGTTATCAAACAGCTAATGAGGAAGAAAATATGAAGTGTGGTGTAGTTATTTATTTTGATAAATATTAGTGGTTCTTTATTTTTTTTGTGTGTGTGAGGTAATAGAAGTAATACAAGCCTAAAACAACATAGGAAAGAAAAATAATCCCCTCACTCTAATAATCCATGACCCAAAATATGCCATGTAAGAAAATAGTTTTAATGAAATTATGGACTAAGATTTAAGAGACTCATTCTATGTTACCACTCTCTGGATGGGATTCTTAAGCAACAAAGTAACAAAAAATGTCAGTTAGGGTGCAGCGGCTGAGCATCTCATTGTTAAAGTCCATTGTCTGCGTGTGAGGCCAGTGGGCCTGCAGGTGCCTTCTCTGCCTCTCGTCATAGGCTGAGCAGCTGGGCAAGCTGGACGTGGGGAGAATAAGGGCTGGGTCTCTCTGGGGTGGCTTATCACAAGGAGGAGTTGCAGTCAGTGTCAGACAAGTTCTGCGAACAGGGAGAAGAGAACTAGTAAGGCATTAGCCCTGCTCCATAGCAAATGAGAGCTGAGCGCCACCAGGAGATGCTAGCCTGAAGCTGGCTGCTGCCCAGAGAAGGGGGCAACAGAACTGTCTCGCAGAGAGGAAGAGAAGTATGAGTGCCCTGGTGACACAGAGCAATTCAAATACCTGGTGTTATTGCTTTCATCGTTGTTTTAGATACCCCTGAAATCATCATGGAGTCACTCGGCGCAGCAAATATTCAATTTGGGTTTGATCTTTTCAAAGTGCTGAAGAAAACAGAGAATGGCAATGTCTTCTTCTCTCCTGTGGGCATCTCCACTGCCATTGGCATGATCCTTCTAGGGACCAGAGGAGCCACTGCCTCTCAGTTACAGAAGGTAGGACGCTTCCGTTGGTTTCCAGACGCAGATTTGCTGCAAGGAGTTTAATCTTCTAGTTTAACCTTGCTAAAAAGGCTCATTCTGACCTGTGGCACAGGGAACAATGACCGTGGAAACACGGAGCAGCTCTACTCCAAATACCATCACACCAAAGACATTATTCTCATAATTAGAGAAATATCACGAAGAATAAAAAGTACTGGGTGAATTAACATAGTGTCTATTAGGGTATAAATAATACATTAGTGATGAATACCGTGTATGGATGAGCCAGTGTCAGTGGGCAACTTTCAAGATTTTGCAAAGACATAAATGTGTGTCCCTGGGGTTCCTTTAATAAGCATTTCCTTTGTCCTGATGTTGTGTGGTGTTTTCTCTGCTATGATCATCATACTAACACGTTATCCCTACCAGGTGTTTCACTTTGCAAAAGACACAGAAGACTCAAGAATAAAGACTAGAGAAAAAGAGGTAGGATGCAAAATTTACATTTCAACATGTTCGATTATTTCGTGTGAGCTTATTGAGGAAAAGGACTGGGAAAGATGTGAAATACTTGACGCATATTGTTAAGTAAGAATAACCACTGCAGAAAAATGATGTTGCTAGGATCATGCAACAATAATAAGCCCTTAATATTAAGGAGAAGCCTTAAATTTAGTGGACCATGATCACTATGACATAATTTGTAAAGGCTAATAAACAGAAAAGTTCCCCAGCAGGAAGGATTGGTTTTGGAGTTAAACAGATTTGGGTTCAAGTCTAGGCTTGGTAATTTAAGAGGAATTTTACTCTGGACAAGTTATTTACCTTTGAGCCTCAGAAACTAAATCACATTAATTATATAGAGATGGTGGTTTAGTAGGTGACATAAATTCCACCCATAGTTTATTTACCGCTGTTTTAATTCTAAAAATATTTTTAGTAGAGGACCAGTAACTTTGAGCTAGTGTTCTAGTATCCTTCACTCAAAGGACATTCGGCTCAAGCACGGAAAAAGGGTTAAGACTTCTAGTCAGGAGACAGTGGCAGCTCTCTGGAAGAACATAATTCTGACAATGGTCATGGTCCAGTCCTCACAAAACCGCAGTTCAAACTGCTGAGCAATGTGATCTGCTTATTTCCCAATTCCCTCCAGGCTATGCTGCATCTTTTGGGAGCCAAGCTTTCTGCCAAGATTCTTACAGCAGCCTTGGTTCAGACAGCTGCTCCAGTGCCCACTTTTGGTGGAGGGGCACAGGTCTTTTCAGAGGACTTTTCCTCTCAATCATGATAGTTCATATAGAACTCTGGAGCCAACTAGAAAAGGGGCACTTCACTCTGGGCTAAGAGCTTGACCACCAGCCTGGAAGCTGAGTTTGAGCTCTGTACAACTCAGAGTAGACGTTCTGTCCGTGACCCTGAATTTTTCTGGGAGGCTCAGTGCTACAAAAAAGAGTAAAATTACTGACTCAAAGGCTTTGACTGGAACACACATCAAAGGTCATCTCTGTTAATCCCCTCATTAGTTGATGGGGAAATAGATGAGTAAAATGATGTTCCTGGAGACAGGCCTGATGTGCACTGTTTCATTAACATGTGACCTCAGTATATTTGGAAACTTGTTTTTCAAACTGATGGCAAAATATTGAGGCATAAGAAAAAATGCACTGTGTATCCTTTATCCCTCTCCACCAGAATGAGAAACAAGTCACAACAAGTCAGTTACCAATAACTTGTTAGAGTATGTGCCATCCTCTGCTGAGACAGGAGGTATCCTGTTTCCTAGTCCCATGTATTTATTATCTCCTTATATGCAATATCTTTTTGGCATTATTATTTGCAACTTGTGGATTTTTGACTCAACATTATGTTTACAAGATTTATTTGTTTTAGGTAGACATTTGTAGCCCTATTTGATTCATTCTTACAGGTGTTTGTCCATTTTTCCTGTGGTTGGGATTTCTTTCCTCCCTGTTAGAAGCAATGACAAAATGATTCTTTTCGTATAAGCTTTTCTTGCATTTATGGAATAAGCAACTTGGCCACAATGTATAAAAACACTGTATGTTATTGGGTTGGATTTGCTGATACTTTGTTAGAATTGTAAAAAAGTGTATTGTAAATGAAATCGATCAATTATACGTCTGTCCAGTTTTGATGCTCATAAAATATCAGATTCACCAAATGACTTAGGAATTGCTTCATATTTTCTATTTTCTGAGTGAGTTTGCATAATTTAGAGAAACACTGTAGCTCTAAGTTTCCTTCTACATGTGAGTCGCACAGCGTACTGATTATCACTGCTTCCTAGTTTGCAATCGGCAATGATGAGAACTTTCATTTTGTTCTTTTAAAAAGATCACTTTGGCTGTTTAGAGTCCCTTTAGGACTACATTTGAATTAGGATTTCTTTTCTATTTCTTCAAAAAATACAATTTTCTACATTTTGATAGTGAGCACACTGAATCTTTGGACTGTGTTGGGTACCAGGGACATCTTAACAACAGAAAGCCCTCAAAAACACTAGCATGATGTTTCACCATTTACTTTTGTTTTTTTTCCTTTGGCTGATTTTAATAATATTTTGTGATTTATAAGTCTTTCACCTTCTAGTAAAATATATTCCTAGTTGCATTATACTTTTGATACTATTGCAAATGGCATCAGAAGCATAAAAAAGCTTTCTTAATGTTCTTTTCAGATTTGTCATGACCAGTGCATAGATAACTGATTTTGTGTGTAGGTTTGGTGTTCTTTGTGGAACTGCTGTATTAATTGCAACAGGTATTTTGCTGTGTTTATCCTTCTCTTTTCTACGTGCAGGATTATGCCGTGATGGGCAGAGATAATTTTCCTTTTTTTTCCTGTCAATTTGAATGTCTCTTCTTTGTCTAGTTACTCTGCCTAGAATTTTCAGTACTAAGTTGGAAATGTTGAATAGCAATCACAAGAGTAGGCATGTTTGCCTGAAAGTAGAGAGCGCTTCCAGTCGCTCACCACTGAGAATGGTGTTGGATATGGACTTTCATATCTGGTTTTTAAAAATGTGCAGGTAGTTTCCATCTTGAAAGGGTGATAAATTCTGCTGAGGTGGTGTTGTACATTGGAATTTTGTAGGTTGAATCCTATCTGCATTCCAGGTATAAGTTCTACTCAGTTGTGGTGCATATCCCTTACAACGTGCTATTGAATTGGGTTTGTTAAGAATTTGTATTCATAAGAATATTTATCTAAAGTGGTTTTATTTTTTGAAAATGATTTCTTTCTTTTTTTTAAATGAAGAGTTTCCTTTTTATAGTCAGAGTGAAAAAAAAAGATAGAGAAAGAGAGAGGGAGAGAGAGAATCTTTCATTTGCTGGTTCATTCCTCAAATAATTACAAAGGCCAGAGTTGTGTTGATCTGAAGCCGGGAGACAAGAGTTGTTTTTGTTTTTGTTTTTAGGTCTTCCACATGGGTACAGGGGCCCAAGAACTCGGGCCACTCTCTACTTCCTTCTTAGGCCATAAGCACAAGCTGGATCAGAAGTGGAGTACCTAGGACTTGAACTGAGGCCCATATGGGATGCCAGCACTCTAGGCAGAGGCTTAGCCTACTATGCCACAGCAGAGCCTCTTAAAGATCTTTATTTCTTTATTTATTTGAAAAGCAGAGTGACAGTGATAGAAAAGGGGAGAGAGAGAAAGAGAAAAAGAGAGAAAGAGAGGAAGAGTGAGAGAGAGAAGATATCAAAGGCCTGTAATAGCCAGGTCTGCTGCAGGAGCCAGAGGCCAGGAGCCAGGGGCCAGGAGCCAGGAGCCAGGGGCCAGGGGCCAGGAGCCAGGAGCCAGGAGCCAGGAGCCAGGGGCCAGGAGCCAGGAGCCAGGAGCCAGGAGCTCCATCTACGTCTCACATGTGGGTAGGTATAGCACAAGTGCTTGGGACACCATTTGTTGCTTCCCAGGAACATTCACAGGGAGTTGCATTGGAGGAGGCCGATGTGGACTCAGTGCCAGGCATTCTGTGTGCGATGGCAAGGATCCCAAGATGTGGTTTCCCTGCCGTGCAACAATGCTCGCTTGTGTGTATTTTTTTTGTTTTTTTCTTTTTGCATGATTTGTTATCAAAGTGATACTGATCACATAGAATGAATTCCTTCTTTGATTCTGGGAGACTTTGAAAAGGGTTAGCATCTTTTTCCCTTGAAATAGTTGATAGAGTTCTTTGGTTAAATTATTTGGTTCCAGGCTTTTCTTTGTTGGAAGTTTTTTGATTATTGATTCAATTTTGTCACTTGTTACGGAACTGTTTAATTTTGGTATCTTCATGATTTAGTCTTGGTGGTATGTATGTTTCTGAAAATGCATGCCAGTCTTCTAGGTTTTGTTTTTGGTATGTAATTACGCATAGCACTTTCCATCATTATTTTCATTTCTGTGACATCAGCTGTAGCACCTGCTGTATAATCTCTACTGTTAACTACTTTAATCTTCCAATTATTTTCCTTAGTTTGTCTTTATAAAGGCTTGTCTCTTGGATTTATTGGTTTTTGAAGGATTTTTTTTCCTGGAGATAACAATCTTGGTTTATTTTATTTTGCTTTCAGTGCTTTGAATATATTATCCAAATCCATTTTAATCTTCAAGGTTTTACTGAAAACTCTTCTGACAATGTAAGAGAATCCTCTTGTATGCTCAAGCAGCTTTTCTTTACCTACTTTTTCCCTCTTTATAACCACTGTCAGGTTGATTATGATACATTTTGGCATAGGTTTCTTTAGTTTTACATGACTTGGAGTTCTTTGAATTTATTTACTTTTTATGTCCAAGTTCTCTTCAGATTTGGGACATTTTCTGTAATTACATTTTCAAATATGCTTTTTCTTTTTCTTGCTCTACAGTGTGGTCTGTGTTTTCCACTTGACGAGGTCTCATAAGTCCCTTCAGCTATTTTTAAAACTTTAACTATTTACCTTCCCCCATCTTTTAGTAATTGTCAATGTCCTGCTTTTCAGTTCAGCGATTCTTTCTTCTGCTTAATCCAGTTTGTTGTATGTCTCTCTTGTGAATTTGTTAATTCAGTGGTTATATTCTCTGGTTCCTGAATTTCTGCTTGGCTCTTTCTCTTAGTTTCTGCATTCATTAATATCATAATTTATTTATCTACCACTTTCCTACTTTTGTTTAACGTGCCTGTTCTCCCTTTTGTTTATTTTGAGTTTTTTTGGGTGCTCTTCACATCTGTCGTTGTTGTCAGGTCAGTCTCTGAAAACTAAGTTTGCTCTTTTGATTCACTCTCACCTCCATTTCTTTCTACTTCTTGTCACCCTCAGTTGATCTTCAGCTGTTGAGAAGCGTGTTCTGATCCTGCGGTCTGCACAGCTGGAGATTCTGCAGGCCTGTTGAAGTCCTTTCTGAGGACTGCTGCGTCGTGTCTTCTCTGTGTGTATGGATTATACGGACTCAAGCTTGTCAGCTTATACTTAGGCGATCCTGTCACAGTATTTATGATTAAAAACTCTAGTGTAAATCGATCACCTTTGTTTTCAGTGCTCCCCAACCTGGCACCTCATTTTGTAGAGGAGAATACTTCAACATTAGGGCCTGGAGCAGTGGCTCAACTGGCTAATCCTTACCCATCAAGTGGGGATTCCATATGGGTGCTGGTTATTGTCCCAGATGTTCCACTTCCTATTTAGCTCCATGCTTATGGACTGGGAAAGCAATAGGGGCTGGCCTAAAGCCTTGGGATTCTACATCCATGTGTGAGACCCAGAAGAAACTCTTGGCTTCAGTTTCAGAATCGCTCAGTTCCATCTATTGCAATTGTTTGGGGAGTGAACCAGCAAATGGAAAATCTTTCTGTAAATCTGCCTTTCTAATTAAAAATAAAAAAGTTAGTCTAATCCTCTATTATAAGGCAGGTACTGCTCTAGGCATTGAGGATTCAGTAAAGAAATAAATGAAATAAAAAAAAAAAATCAATGAACAAAGACAAGGTCCATGGACCTTATATTCCGGAAGAAGATGACCTTTCTGTTATTTCTTTTTCCAGGAAAGTGTTCTGGGTAAGCTCACACTACCAGGGAGTAATTCTCTGTTCTCGATCATAAAATTAATGGATCCTATAGGAAAATTTGATTTTTAAAATCAAGATAGGAATAAATCTCACTTTATCTCAATGTGTAACTCATCCCATCAGGAATCACTTTTCTCATCTGCTATGGAGAACAGAAATTTCCAACCTTTAGTGGATAAGAATTTTCTTGGAAATCACCCACTTTCCATAGGTGCTTATGGTCTTATGGGAAGCTAAAGACAAATGTACCAAACCCTTAGTGGTCAATCACATTTGAGACCAAGACAATCCAGGTGAGAAATGCAAGATCCATGATGTTGAACTGAAGTAGAAAGTGCCTCTGCGGCGGTGAAATGGGTCATAGCCTGCACTGTCATAAGATGTATGTAAAAGCCAAGGTCACACCTCGTTATGAATCCCATCAAGGATTCCAAAGTGAGGGGAAGATGGGGCAGCACTTTAGGGTGATTCTAGGCCTTTGCCAAGGTATCCCATGGAAGTTTTGTTTTGATTTTTAAGATTGGGGAGACGGAGGAGATACATCAGTACTTCCAAAAGTTACTGACTGATATAGATAAGCTCGGGAATGAAGGAGAGCTGAATATAACCAACAGACTGTTTGGAGAAAAAACATACCTTTTCCTCCAGGTAAGCTTCCCTGCATTGATCACACTGGTGAATGGGAGTCACGAGGGATTACTTGATACTGTTAGGACCATGGGCCATGGGGTTGCTCAGTCCTATGCCTGCTTGAGCCCACCTCATTGCTGAGCTATTGGCCTGCACTGCAGACATTCGGAAACTTCTGAGGATTTCGTTCTAGTTTGGGAAACCTGAACCTCATCATAACTGCATGAAAATGTGCATGAGAATACTCCAGGTGACTTCCAAGGTTCCTGTTGAGATATTTGTTGTTCTAGTGCACAGATAATTTTACTTAAATATGTTGACAATTGACAAGCTGACTTTTCAATCTCTTTCTATTCCTTCTCGGTTTCTTCTAAAGAAATACTTAGATTATGTTGAAAAATATTACCATGCATCTTTGGAGCCTGTTGATTTTCTAAATGCACCTGATGAAACTCGAAAGAAGATTAATTCCTGGGTTGAAAGCCAAACAAATGGTAGAGTATGGGTGGGTCATTTATTATAAATCTTCTTGATGCCTGCTTTGAGTGCAGCCTTCAGCTTGCACCTGAGAGGTGTGCCATGTGGACAAGCTGTGGGAGTGTACATGATATGGGTTTTGCAGGGATGCAAGGCAGAGATGGGCAGGAGGAATGGAAGGACCTGCCATTGATGGAATGGCCTCAGCAAATGTGGGGAGAACCAGTAGGAATCAAGAGGGGCCATAGAAGTTCAGCTTCCCAGAAACAGTGGAGAATTATTCTCACTCAGCTATAAATTTAAGTATCTTTGGGATTTCTGATAGGGCTTGTGTTCATTGTGGGTTTATACACCTTCCTGTATGTGAGAACTTTTCTTTGTGAGCCTGGGTCCCTCTGTGAAAATATCACAGGAAATATCCTTTGCTTTTATTAAGTGAGAAACATGGAGCTCTGCCCACAAGACCTGTGTTTGCTATTTACATCCAGGACACCCAGACCTCAGCTCTCCTGGAGCATCATGCATAATGATAGAGCTTTCAGCCCCATGTACAGCAGGGAGTGTGCCGGGACTCAAACCTGCACTCTGACACACCATGCTGGTATCATAAACTCCGTCCTTACGTGCTGTACCACAGTCTGGTTCTTCCACTCTCTTCCTTCTGATCCACTGGAATAAACCAAAAGCTTATGATGTATGTGAGAGGAACATCAATGTGGAAATGCTCTTCTGCAGGACTGCCATGCACATCATTTGTGATTTGGAAGATGGATCAATTTTTTTTTGTTTACTCATTTGCAGAAAGGATCAAAGACTTGTTTCCAGATGGCTCTCTGAGCAGCGCCACCAAACTGGTGCTGATCAACACGGTTTATTTTAAAGGGCAATGGGACAGAGCGTTTAAGAAAGAAGATACCAAGGAGGAAGAATTTTGGCTGAATAAGGTATAAGCCTTTTTTAAGTAATGTATAAACACACGGAGTGTGAAATGTAGTCACGTGTGAGCAAATGAACACTGGAAGATTGCAAATCCTTTTTGTGAGGCTGATTTTCAGGGGGCATCATTGTAGGTTGATCTAATTATGCCTTTGCTCTTGTGTCTTCTGACCCTGTGCGCTTTGCTAACCGGCTGTAGAGTACAAGCAAAACTGTGTTGATGATGACACAGCGCCATCCCTTCAGCTTCATGCTCCCCGAGGACTTGCCGGCTAAAATCCTGGGGATCCCGTACAAAAACAACGGCCTCCAGATGTTTGTGCTTCTGCCTGATGACATAGATGGTCTGGAGAAGGTGAGACCACACATCTCTCTATCCTTGCCCTTGCTTCGTGAGGTTTATCTAGGCGAGCTAACACACAGAGCTTTGAGCGGGTATGTGCTGGGCAGTGCCAGGTAGACAGTATTTCTCAGGGGGCTAAAGAGGAGCCATAGATGTTCTCGGGCTCACTAAGACTATGTTAAAGTATTTCAAGATGACCTGAAAATCAATGTTTCTGATTATATGGGAGTTCTAAATATCATCCACTTGTCTGAGAAATGGTTGATATCTATAGGTGCTTTTGGTTGGGGCAAAATCAAAGGCGTGCACCTAGAAAATTTTACTCAGTAAATAAATAAAAAGGTTTATTCACTAAGTTCCTGGATATTTGAAATATCATAATTTGACTCTCATTTTTTGAACTCCTTTAATTTGGTCCTAGTCACTTTGTAGTTAAAAAATTAGAATGGTAATGTTCTGTGTTTTGGAGATCGGCAAATCTTTGATTCAGATCTTACTCCTTTAATAGCTTGTTAATCCAATGAAATAGCCTAACTTCCTTGGGCCATGCTATTTTTTTTTAAAGATTTGTTTATTTTTATTGGAAAGTCAGATATACAGAGGAGGAGAGACAGAGAGGAAGATCTATGTTATGGATAGCACTCCATAATGTTAGGTGCTGTTATTATAGTTCCAACTGCTAAGCTGTGGCTGAGAAACTATGAGCATTCAAAGTTGGAAAATATTTTGAAACAGCCAAATGACAGTTTTTATAAGAGATTTAAAAATATTTATGCACTGGCTCAAAAAGCCAGTTGTGGGAATTACTTTGAAATTAATTCAGAAGAAAAAGTTATCTTTCTGAGCCAAACCAGTAATCCTAGCATTCAATTCACTCAGATGCCTCGTTTGAGCTTCATAGTAATTATTATTACAGTGAAATAATTATTAAAATTTGTCATTTTTCCTGTTATATTTTAAATGTTTAAAATGAAAAGAAATTTTAACTTATGGAAAGATTATTTAGCAGTTTGAAGATATTTATGAGAAATATTTGGTAGAGCAAGAAGTTAAATACATATAAAGTAAAATAGATGTTAGCTGTGACCACAAGAGTAATTGTATATGTGGTCACATGCATTTAAAAACAATGGGATAGAGTGAAAAATGAAAGAAAGATCGCTACAATAAGAAATTAATTGTTTTAAATTTAAATTACACATTTAATGCTGTTGGATTTTCACGGAAACACAGATAATTTAAATAGAGAAATCTCAGACAACAGCTTGCTACATAGACACTAAATGAAATTTCTGCTTTTATTTATTATAAAACTCAGTAATTTTTGACACACACAAATCAGTGATGCAGTTGACCTTTTATTGACCATCATGCCATTCTGTGCTCCCTTTAAAATATAGATTATAGACAGAATAACTCCTGAGAAGTTAGTAGAGTGGACTAGCCCAGGGCATATGGAAGAAAAGAACGTGAATTTACGCCTGCCCCGGCTGGAAGTGGAGGGCAGTTACGACCTTGGGCCTGTCCTGTCCACCGTGGGGCTGGAAGATGCCTTCGTGGAGAGCAACGCCGACTGCTCCGTGTCCTCGCTGTCCGGGCTGCATGCGGACAAGTTGCTGCACAGGTCCTTCGTGGCGATCACGGAGGAAGGCACGGAGGCTGCTGCCGCGACCGGCATCCGCTTCAACGTCAGCTCGGCTTCTGCCTATGAAGACTTTCACTGTAATCACCCTTTCCTGTTCTTCATCAGGCACAGCGACTCCAACAGCATCCTCTTCTTTGGCAAATTTTCATCTCCATGAGACAGTCGCTACCGTAACATTGCTTCCCATTGTAAACCTATCATCCAGTGTTGTAGTTTTCACACAACAATGGACATAGCCCATTCCTTTTAAGTTTTGCTAGGTTTGCAGGCATTCCAGTCTTTTATCACCAAATCAACGACTTGACGACTTGCAGTTTTGTGCACTGAAGGAGAGAAATATTCTCTTCTGTAGGGAGTTTGGACTAGTGATTTTGAATCCTTCTAGTCCTAGGATTTTGGCATATTGCAATAATAAAGTAAAACATACCAATAATTTACTCAAGTAATGTGTTACACTTTTTTCAGAGAACAGTGTGACAAATTGTACATATGAAAAAGAATTTAGAAAGACATTAGCAAAACAGATAAAAATTCAAAAGAAAGAATGCAGTTAAAGCCATATACCAGACATGAAATATTTCCTTATTTGTATCTGTGATAGCAGTGGAGTGCATTATCCATTGTCAGTTTCATAAGCATTTGATATAATGAAAGGTGTTGCCAATCTGAGTAGAGAAACGCTCCAGCTTGTTAATAGTGCAACCTTATGCTTTTTTTAGACTTTGGAAAGTAAACTTGTGGATTGACTTTTAAAAGAGCAACTTTTCTTCCTTTCCTCTGATTTACAGATGCCTCGTTATCTTTTATCGCCAAAGGATATATTCCTGAAGGTGCTCTTTGAAAAGCTCTATTATTAACGCTCTTTATGTTGTACAGTTTACAATTTTTAGTGAGATATTACTGGTTTATATTTTTAAAAGCTTTGTTGAAGTATAATTTACATATAAAATCCAATTTACGTTGTAAATTTAAAATTTATTGAGTTTTGATAAATTTTTTGTTTTTTGTGCAATTTAAAAAAATTTTTGAGACAATAAATTAAAATGTAATTTTAATTTATATTATAGTCAAAGGGTTACTCTACAAAATAGACCAACAAGCAAAAGGTTAAAGATCATAGTTCATGAGGTTTATAGGCAAAAATTATAAACAATAATCGAATGGATGTTCAACTTTATTCATATATAACACATTTTAAAATAGTCACAGATGATTGAAATGATAGCAGCACATAATTCTTAGCAACTTGTTTGACAGATATTTAAAACAAAGTTTGACAAAACACTGTATTTGTGATAAAATTTATACACTCTAGCATTTTATTTTTATTTTTAAAAATGAAAAAAAAATTAGCTCCCACATATAAGGGAGAATGTGCAGTGTTTTTCTGTGTCCAGCTTATTTCACTCAACATGGTGCAAACAATAGTCCCTTAATCACCAAAGTCCAGTTTTGGAATTTTTTTTTTCAGTTTTGGAGTTTTTTTTTAAGGGAACATTTCTTTTATCTAAAATGTTTTCTTATGTGTGTGCTCTTATCCCCCGCCATGGGAAATCACTGATTTCTGTCATTCTAGTTTTTTATGTGATCATGCAGCATGCATGCACTGCTTTGTGTTGGACTGCTTATATTTAGCCTGCCTTTGAGGTTCGGTAGGTTGTAGCAGGTGTCGATACTTGATTTCTTCTCATTGCTGAATTGTATTGTGATTCTTAGAAAAAAATGTTGATGCACTAGTTGATGCACATCTGTATTGCTCAGATCTTTTTTTGTTACTAAGAATAATGGTTCTATGAACATTTCTGTGATGATGCATTTTAGTTTCTCTTGGATAAATTTCTAAGAATGGCATTGCTGGATTGTAGGACAATTTGTTGTTTAGTTTTATAATAAATTGTCAAACTGTTTTCCATTGTTGCTGTATCATTTCATGTCTCCACCAACAATGTATAGCAGTTCTACTCTCCCCAAACCCTTTCCATTATCAGTAATGCATTTTCATGATTGTTGCCATTCTAATAGATATTGAGCAGTGTGTTATGGTGGTTTTAATCCATATTTTCCTAATTTTGAGCTTACTGGCAATTTGCATTCTCCCTGTGGTATAATGTTCAAGTGATTTTCTCATTTTTTAAAAGATTTATTTTATTGGAGTGGCAGATATACAGAGAGAAGGAGATGTGGAGAGAAAGATCTTCCATCAGCAGGTTCACTCCCCAGGTGGCTGCAATGGGCAGAGCTGAGCCAATCCAAAGCCAGAAACCAGGAGCTTCTTCCAGGTTTGCCTTGTCGGGGCAGGGTTCCGAGCTTTGGGCCATAAGCAGGGAGTTGGATGGGAAGTGGAGCAGCTGGGATATTAACTGGCTCCCATATGTGATCCTGGTGGATGCAAGGCAAGGATTTAGCCAATAGGATTTAAAGTTAGGTAGCTTGTCATTCCGTAAATCGAAATACTATTTTTTTTTAAAGATTTATTTTTATTGGAAAGTCAGATAAACAGAGAGGAGGAGAGACAGTGAGAAAGATCTTCGTCCGATGATTCACTCCCCAAGTGAGCGCAACGGCCAATGCTATGCTGATCCGAAGTCAGAATCCAGGAACTTCTTCCAGGTCTCAAACATGGGTGCAGGGTCCCAAGGCTTTGGGCCGTCCTCAACTGCTTTCCCACGCCACAAGCAGGGAGCTGGATGGGAAGTGGAGCTACTGGAATTAGAACTGGCGCCCAAATGGGATCTTGGTGCGTTCAAGGCGAGGACTTTAGCCGCTAGGTCACGTCCCCGGGCCTGAAATACTATTGTTGGGCTGAGCTATTGTTCACTCCTTAAAAGTTATTTATATTCTATAGCTTCTTGTTTTTGTGTTTACATAATCTTTATCTTTGTTTAATCTATAGCTTCTTTAAAAGTTTATGTAGTGATTGTTTGTTATGTCCCTGAGGTCTTTCAGTGTATCATTTTACCACTTTTTTGAGGGGGCTATGTTATCCAAAGTTCCAAATATATACGATAAGCAAGTCTAGAGATCTAATCTACAAGGACTACAGTTAGTTATATTGTATTTAAGATTTTTGCTGAAAGAGTACATTTTAGGTGTTTTGCCAAAAAAAAAAAAAAGTCATGATGTGAGCTGATGGATGTGTTAACTTACTTAACTTTAATAACTCTTTTACTATGTATACATACATAAGTACATCCTGCTATATATCTTTTTTAAAAAAAGATTTACTTATTTTTATTGGAAAATCTGATTTATAGAGAGGAGAAGAGACAGAGAAAGATCTTCCATCTGCTGGTTTACTCCCCATGTAGCCACAACATCTGGAGCTGAGCAGATCCGAAGCCAAGAACTTCTTCCGGGTCTTCCATGTGCATGCAGGGTCCCAAGGCTTTGGGCCATCATCTACTTCCCTCCCAGGCCACAAGCAGGGAGATGAATGGAAAGTAGGGGAGCTGGAACATGAACTGATGCCCATATGGGATCCTGGCAGATGCAACAGAAGGATTTAGCCACCTAGCCATTGTGCTGGGCCCTGTGCTATATATCTTAAATATCTACAATAAGAAAATATATACAATAAGAAGGTAACATAAAGGTTATGTGTTTACAATACTCACAAAGATCTATTAATACACAGTAAGCAGAAATTGCAATTGAGAAGCGTGAATAAGGAATTTAAAATGCAAGGGAGGAGTTATTATATGGGATATTGTGTTGAGTGATACCAGAATTGAGAATGTGGCCCAAAGCTGGCACAAAGTTGGCACACACTTTTGGTGTCGCAGACTCAGAAGCTTCCCCGTGTACTCTGGAACAGACACCTTCTGAGGCTTAGGACAGAGGGGCCAAACCAGCTCTGCTGCTTCCAGCCACCGAGACTATCACTTCATCTCTGTCTATTAAAAAAGGCAAGGAAGGTGGAGATGAGGTGATTCATCCAAGTTGCTTTCAATAAACCTGTAAGAATGATAGTGACTCAAAATGCAACAGGGCTGGGTCATGAAGTAAACAGATAAAATAGGGGCTTTATTTCCCACACTGTGGCTTCTCATGCCAGTTGCACGAATGGAGCCTTCTCATGACACAAATCCTTGAGCAAGTGTGCGAAGTTTCACAGATGCACTTCAGAGAAATGGGCATCCCCACAGTGGTAAAAAGAAGATTTTGGAGAAAAGTCAAGTGCAAAGCTGGGCAACTTTCCATTTGGTAAAAATCAGAAGAGCTTTTGGTTAAACCCTTTCTAATGTCAAGTGGGAGCAATTTGGTAGTCAGTGTACCCAAGGCTGCTAAGTGGTCATCTGGCTTGGATCTGGACCAACACTGAACCTGCCTAAGGGATAGAAATGTGGCTTGGAATATTGTGTAAAGATGATGGGAGAGGAACTTCCTTTCTTTGGTGGCTAGTTACTAGCTGTACTGTAGGTATCTAGGTATTGATTGAAGTCATATGTTTCGCTTCTCAGAATGCAGGAAGCTTTCCTTCATCTAGTAGAAGATTGGATCAATATTGAAAAACAGTGCCAAGGATGAAACTCCCCCCACCCTCTACTTCTCTCTCATTCTCTGGTTCCCTCTTCCTCTCTTTCATTATGCAAACACCGAGCACCTGATCCATCATGTTTCATGGTTCACTCTTCAGGAACTTCATCTGCTTGGTGTATGTGAGTTTGAGTATCGTTGCTGATCCCTGCAGGATCCTGAGGAATGTACGATCTTTGTGATGATAAACTGATGATAGCTTCCAATTGGTTCTAGTGTTAGTGGGGAAATGGTTGAAGTCTTGGTTGTTTTGAGGAACTCATTGGGAAGATTTTCACTGGTGGTGCCAGTGGTATAGCGGACCTGTTTCAGAGAACCATAATTTTGGCTTGTATCTTTGCCTAGATAGACATAATTAAACTATAAACATTTTTTCAATGCAAGTACTTTTTAAAAAGTGAGTTTCTTTCTTGTTATTCCTATTTCAGATGGTTTATGAATTGGAAAATTGAGATATGCTTCAAAGTATTTAAGCAGGTAAGATCTCTGCAGGGTTATAGTTGCAATTGCTCAAACTTGATGGCTAGGAAGGTGTTCAGAAACAAGCATAAACTCATCCAAATAGCTCTGAGCAGAGAGAAAAAAGAAAAAACCCCAACACCTACTTGACTAAATATCAAG